GCAAATGTAGCAAGTGTGTCATGAGTGGTACCTGAGTGATCATCTTCGGTTGTCGATAGGCTCGCTGGCAGTGTGGGGGCAGCTGTTCGAACCATGCAAGTGTATCCGTAGTCAGGTCATCGCGAAGGTCCGCGATGTCGCGTAACACGTTGTGCTGTAGTTGTGGCAGTTGTGGTATGGTCCTTTGCATTGCGATGGCCCACAAAATGGTCGGGTCGCAGTGCTGGGGCTGTTGCAGCGAGGTCGCGTGGTGTTTGGCCCAGGTCAAGTGGTCCTGCCAGTCGTTCTGTGGCATATGTAGCGTTTCTGATGCTCTCGGAGGTGGTCCCCATGGTCGTGGGTTGTGAAGCCAGAGGTCGACCATCATTCCGAGGGAGCCGCGACGTACCCGCTGCGTGGGCGGGGGAATCCCGAAGGCTGGCTGTAGTAGCAAAAGGAATAGGATCCACATGGCTGTGGGCACATGCCAGGAGTTCCCCAGCATGGTGTTCCTGGTCCGGTCGGTGTTGTGTGGTCCCGTCCAGCCGCGCGGGAATCCCATCATTGCTTCGCGGTGCTCGGGTGTTGCGACTTGCCAGTCGTGTCCGTGTTTCCGGACCAGGTATTTCTGTTGGTATTGCCACGGGGCGAATTGTTTGTGGTCGGCTTGCCACCGTTGCCATGTGTCGTCTGGTAGTTGTTGGCTGCGTGGTGGTGGGCGGCCTTCGTCCGTACTGGCCTGGGTGGTAAGGCAGTGGAAGAGTTGTCCGTGTGTTAGGACACTCGGCGGGTCAAAGTCCCGGATGTGACAGTCTGGTTGTAGTTCGGCTGCAATGGGATTGAAGAGCACCGGTGGGAACAGCTGAGTGTCGATGGAGAGTTGCCAAGGTGTATGCCTGCTCAATGTGGCAGGCAAGGATTCCCAATCGACCGAGGCCCACCAGATTCTGGGACGAGAGATGATTTGTCCGTCGGCCGCGTCGATCAGGACTGGGCGTAGGCCCATGGAGTGGGACAGCTGGTCGAAGTCGTCGCGTACCTCGGGGTGAGGCACGACATTCTCTAGCAGGGTGAGCGATTGATGTGGCCATCTGTTCTGAATGTCGTCGCGGATGGAGAGTGCGGTGTCGAAGAGGCCGCCCTGTGAGCCAGCCCGGCCCGGTTGGTGTCGTTTAATGTTGGAGTAGTCCTTGCACGGTGGGCCACCGGTGAAGAGGATAATGTGTCTCTCGTGATTGGGTATGTCCTGGATGATCGCAGCCAGTTGTTCGATGTCAAAATCTTCTACGGCGCCCATGTGCGTCGTGGGGAAGAGTGAATGAGGTAGCTGATTGCAGGACTGATCGGTTTCCCACCGGAAACAGTGGGAGACGTTGGCGCCCAGTTGGTGCAGGGCAAGTGACACTGTGCCGATCCCGTCGAAAACTGAGAGCAGGATAATGGGCGTGTGTTGTATGAGTTGTCTGGTAAGATGGAGGCAACGCGCCGGGTCGGCTCCAGGGGACTGGTCCCCTGGGCCGTGCTGTCCCTAACGCGCCTTGTTCTTCCCGTGGGATTTGGTGCCTTTCTTGCCTTTCCCGGACCCCTTCTTTCCTTTGGGTGTGTCGCCCTTGAACGAGGGTCCTGGGGTTGTAGGCATCGAGGGGATGGCGGGGATGGCGAATTGGGTTGGTCCCCAGGTCGCGTATGGCTGGTTGTTGTATGGGTACGAAGTGGTCTGGTACCCTTTGTTGCCCCAGGTGTGCTTGCCTCTGCCCTTGGGTTGTCGATACTGGTTACTGTTGTTCTGTGGACGTCGGGTCTCTGTCCGTGGTTGTTTCTTGGCTGGTTGCGAAAGGATGTCGTTCATCGTGGTCGTGTCGGCCAGTAGTTCCTTGGTAGCTTTGCTGAAGGTGGCCCCCGACCGCATCTTCATGGCCAGTTGCCATGTGAAGGTTTCCCAGGAGTCTTTGACTTGGAGCAAGCGCTGCTGGTGTTGACGGGTGATGCGGCAGAATTTGTCGATGAATTCGTTGATGTCGGTTTCGTCCCCGATCTGGATGAAGGTCCATGCCCATCGAATGGCCTCCAACCCGTCAAGAATCATCATCAGGTTCTGTGGGTCCCAGTCTCTGGGCGTGGTTTCGACCAGCGTGTTG